GTTAGATTATTGGACTTATATTGTATGTAATATTCACAATATATTATTTATCGGGTTTAATTGTATGTTATATGCTATCTTATATTTAGGCCCAAAAATTAGTGGTCCTATGGATATTAATTTAAGTGGGCTAATAAGTTATCTAATAAGGTATAGGGCCCAAATATGTAGAGACCCATGGGCTTGACCTAATCAATGATGGGCTGATTAGGGTTAAGCACTCTCTATAAATAAGGGGTTATGGTCCCTAGTTGTACACACCATTCTGTCTTTCTGCATCCCATCGCTAGAGAGATAATCCCGAGGGTGTGTATCAGCTAGAAGACACAAACCCTAGCCTCCGTCTCCCGGATCTCTAAAGGCCATCTCCCATGGAGTCAGGTACGCTTCCGCTCAGTTAATTCTCCAGATAATTTCAATATGAAGATTAAAGTATTCATGAATTTATTTCAACATTAGAAACAAATATGGAGCCCGTTCCATAATCCCGTTTTCATCTTCCGAGTCTTATCAATCAATTTTTTTATCAAACACGTAATTTTTTATTTCACGCGTTGAATTGTGCAATTATCAAAATAAGTAAGGTTGAAGTTACTTTTCTAACTGAGTTGGCTGAACTTACTGTAATGATGATTTTAGCTATTTTCATATAAAATTTTCTTTGTTTTATTAATAGGATATTTTAATAATTTTTTCTTAATTCAACAGAATCAGACAATTCAGTCACTTCAACTAGAACTTGATTATTTTCAATAGAATAAACTGATTCAGTGGGCTCATCATTAAAAAATCGGTAAAATTATTGGATTGTTGCCGAATATAATAACAACGACGAAAATAGATAAAAATAATCTCAACTATTAGTGATTTGTTCTAAATAATCCAAAGCATCAATTATCTTAAAATAATCTCACCTATCGAATAATATTCTCAAAATGCTCCAATAACTTATATTGACCTATAAATATTATAAGGAGTAAGTCATTTATGATGAGTCATTATAAGTCAGTGGAACATTTTGATAATTTTATTCAATAGTTGGGATAAGTTTGAGATAATTGATACTTTCAATTATTTTAATTAGTATTATTATTGTTCATTTTTTCTAAAAACAATCCAACAAAAGTTAGTGGCTATTTTGGAAGAGAAATATACGCACTGCACTCCAAACTCCACGGCCTCACTGTCCCTCTCTAGTCTCTATCCACCGGCATCTTGTCTTTTTCATGAAAATTTTCTAATACTCCCACTATTTTTATATAATTGTACAAAAAAACATTTTGTACGCACTCTTATACACATTTTTTGTATACATCTATATTTGTGAAAGGTTTTTTTTGTCTGTGAACATCGACTCACAGACAATGTTTTGCACAGACAAAAAAACTTCACAAACATAATGTGTATAAAATGTGTACAAGGGTGTGTAAAAGTTTTGATAATCGTAACATATTCCTTTTTCACTAATATTTATATGCTTGTAGAGTAATACTTTCTTACTTTCTTGATAACTTTTTCATTTACAATGTTTTTTAAATACTCTTACTTTCTACTTTTTCATCTTTTGTCATACTTTTCGTTGTTCCCACTTACTTTTACATTATTTGTACACTATCACCGCCCTTATTGTTTCATTTTTAAACTCCATAAAAATTTAGTGTTGCAACTATATAAATACAGATAAAGTACGTACTAAATTGATTGTGTTTATATCACTCTAATTATTTTTACTTTATTTATTGTGAATTATATATGTATATATGATTTCATTTTCAAAATGATCTTATTTTATTGTTATACTACGTATAAAATAGGAGCCCCTATAAAATACTTACAAAAAGACTGACAAGTTTGGGATAACCGGTAATGTGCTTTTAATTGAATTGAAAATTGACATCTAGCCAGATCTAATATTTTTAGGTCCGTATTATTTTATTATAATGTATTTAAAATTGACAATCTAATACTAGTATATTTAAATTTCATATGCTATATTTTGAAATCGGCCTATTTAAAATATCATAATTTGGGATATTCGGTCAAAAAGCGTTTAACCCGCACTGAAAGCTCAGTTGATTGAGTGGTTAGAAAGTGTGAATATTGACCAATGATTGAAACCCGCAGCAGCCGTGTGAAAGTTACGGTTCATGTGTGATATGCTAGACTTCTAGTGTGCACGAGTACAAGATCTACTATCATTAGATTGCTTGAGTCAATGTGACTTGCAACTTTCCAAATGTCTTGGCGAGTCGGACGTTGGGACTAGGGTTGGGGAGAAATACCGATATTTCGGTATACTGCATTTACCATAGTGAAAAATACCGGATTTATCGAAGATTTAGGTATACCGGCATTTCATGTATGGTATGGTACCATATCGAATTATTTTGTATGATATTGATATATGTTTTGAAAATAAAAGGTATACCGGTATTCCGTTATACCAAAAGTTCTATTCTAATACGGAGTATTTTTTAAGAATTATAAAAATGACTAAATACACCACATTATATTAGGGATGAATGATTTTATATCCATGTTGTTTGAATAATTTTAATTCTTTGATAGAGATCACTATTGATTTAATTCTATCTATATTTTTAAAGTTATTTTAGTAGAATGTGTTAATTTTTAATATGTGGCATGTTGAATTGCTTAAATACACTAATACTCCGATATGACATCAATAAATTACTCTTTCCGGTCCTTAATTAAGTTTACACTTTCATTTTTGGACCGTCCCATATTAAACTTTACACTTCCTTGTTTGCCTTATTTGGCAAACAAATCTACACCAAACAGTGTCAAACGGTGTCAAACAGTGTACTCTACAGTAAAGTCAAATTTATTTCTTTAATATGTGTGAAGTCAAAGTGTAAACTTAATTAAGGATCAGATGGAATATTACTTGTATTTTGTAACATTTTAACAATGAATTAAATATGTCGCTAGTAACACCGATTTTGTATATTTCGGTATTCTATGACAATTTGTTGTATTGAGAGATATGTATGGTAATATATTCATATTGTACAGTTACCGAACCGAAAGTTCGCTATACCGAAATGCGATATACCAAAATTTCAGTAAAGTAGCAACATACGAAATACTCCCTCCGGTCCTAAATAAACTTCACACTTTGACTTCACACAAATTAAGGAAATAAATTTGACTTTACTGTAGAGTACATTGTTGTGACATTGTTTTGATGTAGATAATTTGCCAAATAAGGAAGGGAGAAGAAGTGTGAAGTTTATTTTAAACCTATCCAAAATGAAAAGTGTGAAGTTTATTTAGGACCGGAGGGATATAATTTTGTATACATAAAATTTAATACGCGTTTAAATTTCTAAATGATAGGGTAAAACCGCGGGCTACATCCCCTGTTTCGGACAAATTTGACAATTACCTCTCTGCTGTATAAAAAAAACAATTTTGACAATCTCAACTTCTCACATTCTTCCATCATTATTATCACTTAAAGTAAGCCGGTAACCCTCAAATACTCTTTTTTCTATTGCCGAATGATTCGTTGGCTTTTGGTTTACCCGTACATACAATGATGAACCCCAACTAAAAATATTTAAATATTTAAAAATATTTAATTTGCTGGTCTGGTCTGATCTGGTCTGGTCTGGTCTGGTTTCTTTGTATTTTTATAATTATTCAAGTCTGGTCTGGTTTGGTCTGGTCTGGTCTGGTTTGGTCTGGTCTGATCTGATCTGGTCTGGTTTGGGACGAATTACAATCTAAGTAAAAACATCCTTAATGTAGTGCTTGGTAAATTTGTGAGTTCCTTGATTTAATGTCTTTTCCCATTGATTGAATCAGTCTTGAACTAATCTATTCAAAATGATAAAATTTAATTAGAATGGGTGAATTGACATAGTTACAATGTTTTTAGTTGGGCTGTTTTGAGTCTCAGATCAGATCAAACTTAAACAGATCAGATCAGACTTAAACATATCAGAGTATACTTCTGTAGTTATAAAATACACAGAGACAAGATATTTACCAGACCAGATCAGCAAATTACAATTTAAGTACAAACATCCTTGGTTGAATTATGCAACAATTGTTTTTCAAATGTTTTTTATTTATAAAATAACTAAATAAAATTCTATGAAAAATATTTAAAATAGTCTTCTCCCACAATTTCGGGCAAACCTATCAGAAAAATAAATAACAACTACTACTTTATGAGTTTACTTATTTAATTATTATGTAATTCAGCACGTAACATAAAAAATGCTCGTTAATTAAAAAAATGAATAGATAATGCTGATAAACCGAAAATGAGATTATCAAATGAGATCTAAATTATTTTAATTGTGTTGGGATAATGACCTAACGGGGGTTGTTGGCCCATAAAACCCTCAAGCACGCCCTACGAACGTCCCCAGAAGGCACGAAACAACGAGTTACCTCTCCGCATATCCTGGCGAGGTTCGTCCCCAACAGGGCCAGACTTTAGCACCAAGGCCCAGGGGACGTACGTACCGTAGCATAGGCGGGTGCCTTGGAACAGGGGCAGCGCGGGACGCTCAAGGGGACGAACATCCCCACCCCTTAGCGGGAAGCCAAGATCCTGGCGGGGGCAGCGCCGGACGCTCGTCTAGCAAGACTTCGGACCCAGCAGGAAACAGGAGGCAAGCTCATGGGAACGAACGTCCCCACCCCTTGGCGGGAAGCCAAGATCCCGACGGGAAGCGTATTTAATGCAGAAGATTTGGTGGTTGCGCATTTAATGCAGAAGATTTGGTGGTTGTAATCAAGCCATCCACAGGCCGCCACGTCAACGCATCTAACTACCAATTGACAGTATAAATAGTACTCTCTCCGTCCCGCTAACAATGAGACAAGAGGAGGTGACACACAAATTAATAAAAAGTGGTTTATGTGGTTGATATTGAATTGATAAAGTAAGAATAAAGTAAAAATGATTTAGAGCCACACAAACTTTACCAAATTTGATATGGAACAATCTTACTAGGACGGGTCGATAAGGTAAAATGGGACAATCATAGCGGGACAGAGGTAGTAGCATTTATTTCATTCTAACATAGCTCTTATTGAACCTTGCTTGCTTGTTTCTTCATCTGTTTCACCTTATTCTCCATTCGAAACCCTTGAATCGTGTGTTGAGCCTACGAGTTAAGGAATAAATCTCAACAAATAACGTTATTCTATTTTCATGAAGTAATTAAGATATTACATATTTCATCCCTTACGGCTTCTGCGGCTGATTTCAGAAGTGAAATAGTAGGGTGTCAATCTCATAGATAAAGTGTAAAAAATAAGAAAAATTGAAGAGAAAAAAAAGTGGTACAAAATATGGAAATAATTTTGTATTTGCAGATGAAAACTTGCAAAAATAGATAAATTTGCAAGTAATCAAATATTTTCGAAAACATAGAAGTTTGTATTGTCCCCTCAAATAGTATTTCCAAGTTTGTATTTGCACATGAAAACTTGCAAAAATAGATAAATTTGCAAGTAATCAAATATTTTCGAAAACATAGAAGTTTGTATTGTCCCCTCAAATAGTAATCATAAATTTGCAAGTAATCAAATTTTGTATTTCGAAAAAATTGCACTTTTGGCCCCTCAAATAGTATTAATATTGAAATGTAGTTCGTATTATAAAGTTTGTAAATGTCACCCTTCAATTGCCTAAATTATTATACATGTGACACTTTAAGAGGTGAAATTATCAAGTTTGTAAATGTATTGCATAATAATAATAATAAAGTAAGATTGCAAATATTTTTCTGACTGAATTGACCGTAAACTACCACACTTCATAATTCAACAGATTTAACTAATTCAACTATTTCAGCTACAATTTCATAGATTTGAGTAATAAGAATTGGATTCTTAATTAGTTAAATAACAAGAGGATGGGAAAAGTCCATGCTCTAATTAAACTAGAGTGGAATAATGATTATGTCGTAAATTATGTCCACTTACCATTGAGAACCCTCCATCATTGTATGGGCTATGGCTTGTTTGTTCCGGTGGAAGTGGGAGATAGTTGTAGTCAAACAAAAGTTACGTACACTTTCCGTTTGTACAAAAGAAAAACAAAAGTTAGGTACTTTTTTTGAAGACTCATTTATGAGAACATGAAATTATATACGGAATACTTAATTAAATAAGGAATTTGAACCGAGAAAATAAGAAGGGAGCAGTTGGTTTTGGACGGACTTAAAGTCTTAAAGTATGACATACGGAGTATTACTTAACTTCTATTTTGCTTGTCGGATTATGCGTATAAGGCAGAGTTGCCCTTTGGGGTTGGAAGCAAACAAAGAGATGGGGAGTGTTTGGAATTTTTCTCTCCACATGCAGATGCAATCATTTTTTAGAAGCTGGTCTTCCTCAATTTCTAAAAAAAAACTGCTGGTAGATGTAAGTTAGATCACCACAAGTACTTTTCTACTTTCACCTAAACACTACAACTTCTGCTCCTGCTCCCTGAAAGAGTAGAAACAATTTTAAGAATAAGATACAAACATCTCAATAGAAGCGAAAGTTTAGAGAATTATTAAACGTAACATTGTTTAGCTAAAATGAGCTATTACCTTCCAATTTTTGCTTAATGGTTCATTTGAAAGACTTAGGATGTCTTCTTTTGAACTATTTTCAGTTTCAGATCAGTCAGACTATGTTAGACTTAAACAGACCAGATCAGATCAGACTTGGACAGTCATAAAGTACATAGAGATCGGACATTTACCAAACTAGATCCGAATATACCAACAAATTACAGTCCAAAAATAAATATTTAATTGCCATTTAAAGCTAATAGTTTGTCATTGGAGCATCAACTTTCCTTTTGCTTTAAAAAGCTAATTCGCCCAAATGAGCTACTAGCTTAAGCAAGGAGAATTATTGAATGTAACATTATTAATAATAAATGAAGATGGAAAAATCATAGCTAACCATTGAGGTGCATTTTAATTTCGCTGCAAATATGGAGTGTATACCTCACTCAGACGGTCTTTGAAATTGATTTTGTTTATACTCCTTTTTTACAAGCACAAATAGAACCAGAAAATGTTTTCTCATAAGCTAGACCACGTCTTCTAAAAACTGCTTCTAGAAACATTTGAAGCACTCAGAAATACTTCTGCTCTTTCCCTCAAATTAAACACTCTAATATATGTTTCTGAGCAGCAACACAGTTCTAAAAAGTAAATCCAAACACTCCATAAAACGAGTTCCCACAGGATCGATTTATCCAGTTGTAAATTAGTATTTACTAAATTGGAATAACATGGAAAGTTATATGGTAAGAAGTTGTTCTATACGTCTTATTTTTATTACATATTACTTATTTTTGTTCTATTCAGATCAGATCCGAAAAATTCAGATCAGATCCGAAAAATTCAGATCAGATTAGATCAGAAAAATTCATATCAATAATATCATAAAATATCAAATAAGAAATATTCAGATCATAACATATCAGATCAGAAACATCCAGATTGTGAAATGATTTTTAGTGAGTTTCTCAAATAATTTTGAAATGATTTATAAGAGTATGAATACCTTTAATCATTCATATTGAAATTAATTTCTAAAGGTATGTATCTTCATTGGATTAAGGGTACAAAGAGGTAGAACTTTATGGAGACCCGTATGACTCCATTACGGGATCTCTCACTCAAAAAATGAGTAGTTATTAATATGTAACAATACTCCATATATGACTTTATACGGGAGTCATATGCGTGTCTTTAAAAAATTTTGTGCAAAGATGCGTCATACTTAGGGATGGGAAAATATACCGAAATTTCGGTATACCGGTCATACCATACCGAAAAATACCGAATTTATCGAAATTTTCGGTATACCGAAAAGTTCGGTACGGTATGATATCATACCGGGTCACTTCGGTACGGTAAAGGTATGGATTTTTTAGATTTTCGGTATTTCAGTATATACCGAAATACTGTTAATTTTCGGTATGGTACGGTATACCGAAATACCGATATACCGAAATAGAATTTGTAAATTTTTAGGGCCAAACCCATTAAATGAAATTATTAAAATATCAAGGCCCAAAATTAAAATAACCCAACTTATAATACTACGGCCCTTCTCTAGTTCTCCCAAGTAGAGGCCTAAATCCCTAATCAAATAAATCGGAGAATTTGAGTTTGCACCCCATATTTTGGGTGATATTTGACTTTGCACCCCATTTTAAAAATAATGTATGCACCCCATTAGCCCAAAAATTGTGAAGGAGTGGGGTGCAAAGTAAAATAATTTTATAGTGAATTGAGGTGCATACATTAATGATTTTGAAAATAGGGTGCAAACTCAAATATCACCCAAAACATGGAGTGCAAAGTCAAATTCTCCCCAAATAAATCAATGTAGAGTCAAGCAGCTTCTCTTCTCTTCAACAAGTGACAGAGTTGTGGACTATTGAGCATTGACGATGGAGATGCGGACGAGTGACGAAGATGCCATTGACGAAGCACGGAGTAGCGGACAACCGTCATTATTTGCTAAAGCTTAACCATCCTGGTAATATGAACAATCTGGTCTATGCTCATTCTATATTTATAAACAAATGATAGAGTATATTGATAAAATATTTATACGGCGGACGACCATCATATTACCAAAGTAAAAAAATCTCTTATTTATACGGAGCTGCAACAATGATTCAAAGATTTGTTATTACAAACATTGGTTATCATTGATTTATGTTAGATAAATATTCTAATTTTCATTATGGATTGTGTTGAGACTTGAGATATTAGCACATAATTTTAGTATTTTCTAGTTTGGATTAAATATTGTGTTTTAGTTTTGGTATTGGTTTATGTATTGATGTCGTATGCTACTTTTGACTTGTTAAAATCAGTTTTTTTGGATGTTCAGTAGGCCCCTTAAGCTAATACTTTATACGGAATTGCCAAGTTTTTTTTTTGAATTTTCGGTATAAAACGGTATGGGTTACATACCGTACCGAATTTTCGGTATACCGAAATTCGGTATACCGAAAGTTTCGGTATGGTAACGGTATGACATTTACCAATACCGGATTTTCGGTACGGTATGCGGTATGGCATTGAAATTTCGGTATACCGTACCGAACCAGCCCTAGTCATACTTCGCATTATGACTTAATTGGAGGAATTGAGAACTTAGTTCTATTTTGGGGAGTAGTGATAAAAATTCAAAATTGTTCAATATAGTGAAGAAACAACCACATTAAAATTGGGGTGAACTTATTAACAACCCTTTTAATAACTCCTATTTTGAGTATGTTAACCTTATCAATTATGGAATGATTTTTTATCAAACATGTAATGTCTGATTTCACGCACAAAATTGTGTCATAATTAAAATAAGTAAAGTTAGAATTACTTATCAGATTGAATCGTTTGAAATCAATGAAAAACACTTTTTAGCTATACTTTCATATACCTGTTTCTATATTTCTCTGATAAAACATAAGTCAATGTTACTTTACAATGCAGTCTACTCAGCCCCTTCAGACAAAATTTATCTTTTTTTAAAAAAACAACTGATTCAGTCAATTCCTGACTTCCAATATTATCAAACAAATTCTAAATAAGAATAATAACAAACATCACATTATAAAAATCAAAAGTTACTTGGAAATAAAACAAAAGAAGATTTAAAAATGTCTAATGAGAGGAATAAAGATAAATCAACTGAACCAACTAAATAGAATAATTGAGATAACGTAATTGTAAGAATGAAAAAACTTTTTGAAATAAATCCATTCATTGAGTTTCTCTCCCTAGCATTCTAGGGTTCCTGTTTCTGCCGTTGAATTTTGATCGTTGATTTAGCTCTTCCCCCACGACGAGATTCCCTCGTATCATAACATGGCTAGCGAAGTAGAAGATATGTATGCTCGGATGAATTTGGAAGATAACGAAGAGGAAGAAGTGGACCTGGACGTGATCCTTGCAGACGACATCCCAAAGGCTGCACCCATATGCATGGTAGGAAGACTTCTTACAGACAAATCAGTCAAATTTTCGGCATTCCGCGATACTATGGCAGACGTCTGGCGACTCGGCGGTGGGGTCCATATTCGGGAAATTGATGATCATAGGTATTTGTTCCAATTCTTTAACGAAATTGATTTTAAAAGAATAGTGGAGGATGACCCTTGGTGCTTTGATAATTCCCTATTAATTCTGCATAAACCGGAAGCAACGGAGAACCCCAAAACTGTCCCCTTGTCTCATGCTCAGTTCTGGGTTCAAGCTTTTAACTTGACCTACGACTTGTTCACGGAGAAGGTAGCCAAAATAACAGGGGATCAAGTGGGCAGTTTTGTTATGATTAATGCTGCAAATTTTAAGGGCGGTTGGAAGGAGTTCATGCGTATCCGTGTTTCACTTGACATGGAGGTTCCTCTGAAACGCAAGATAAAATTGAAGAAAGGGGGAGAGGCAGTTCTGGTGGATTTGAAATACGAACGGCTGCCACATTTTTGCTTTAGTTGTGATCTTATGAATCATGTCGATCGGATGTATCGTCTTCGGTTTGATTTTACACAAAGTGGCAGAGATAAACCCTTTGGGGGCTGTCTGCGTGCGGGGTTCAAAAAAGGAAGCACTAATCGTGTGGCTGGCAAACGGGGAAGGAAAATTCCTTTTTGGTGGACCTGGCCAGGCAGACCGAGGGGCTGCAGCGTTTGAGGATGTGGATGAAACGCAGAGCACACCTGTGCTAGTTGACGGGGCAGTGGCCAAAAACGAAAGACTTCGGACGAGGGTTTTGATAGAGCTCAATCCGAAGATCAGACTATGGAAACTTCTTTTCAAAAAAAAAACGGGTTAGCGGCGGATTCTGGTCCCTAGACCCGCCGAGAACAATGAGTTGACTTAGTTGGAACTGTCGGGGGCTTGGCAACCCGACGACAGTTCAAGCACTGGTGGACGTGGTTCACTTGAAGCGGCCGGCATTGGTGTTCTTAATGGAGATGTTTGCTAACGGAACTAGGGTGGAGATTATTATGAGGAGGATAGGAATGAATCATTCTTTTGCAGTTGCTAATAATGGTCATAGAGGCGGCTTGGCATTATTGTGGAGGGAATGGATCCAAGTCGAGATTGCAGGGTCTTCTAACCACTTTATTGACGCACAGATTACTCTTGAACCAGGTGCTCCCTCTTGGTGTTTCACTGGATTTTATGGCTGCCCGGAGAGGACTAGACGTCGCGAATCTTGGGACATCCTTAAATTACTAAGTTTGGGAGGGGATAGATCGTGGTTAGTCATGGGAGTTTTCAATGATCTCATGTCTGAGTCCGAGAAAAGAGGGCGGACCCCCACCCTGCTTGGTTATTGAGAGGTTTTCGGGAGACAGTTTGGGAGTGTGGGTTGAGAAATTTTGCCTTTCAGGGCTATCAGTTCACCTGGGAGAGATGGAGAGGGTCTCCAAACTGGGTGGAAGAAAAATTGGATCGAGTGCT